CCATCATTTGGCACAGCTCCAGACAGGAGTCTAGGACCTTGAGGCATACATTTCAGGTACTAAATTAGTCTCTGTGTCACCTTGATTGTCTTTGTTCATTTTAAGTAATTTATTTATTAATTTATTTATATCAGTGCCTTTTCCAAATATTCCCATTACATGCTCTTTCTTTTCCTTAAAAATCTATCAAGTTATTGTAATTGTTTGTTGGTCTGTATGTCTCCAAAGATGCTAAGTCCCTTGAAAATAGGGACCAAATTTTGTTTGCTGTTGAATCATCACCTACTAATACAATATCTAGATGGTGACTGGTTCTAAATAAGTATTTGTTGAATACTGTATATATTTTTATAAACACCTTGACTCTACTTCAGAATAAAGCACAATATACTTACTACCTAAAATTATTTCCCAGTGTCTACATAAAATACTCTATGAATTTTAGAAATGAAATTCTAGATTTGAGAGAAAAAGAGATATTAGGTAATGCTAGGCATTCATCTGGAAAGTTGACAAAACTCTGAACTGGTTAAAAGAATAGGAATTGAAATTCTGACCTTTAATTCCAATCTTTGTGACTGTTTTCTTTGGTTGAAAACTACTTATTAAAAGTGAGCTGGCCCTCTTACTGGAGTTTCGTGGTTTTGGTGAGGAGGAAGTTATACTCAAAAGACACCCCTCAAAAGGCTTTTATGCCTTTTCTATAGGTGGTTGCTATCAGAAGAATCATTTTCACCATGAATTGTTTGTCTTTATGTAAGAAAAGCTAGATGCATCTGGCCAGGTGTTTTGAGGTGATTCTAATGGGTTAAACTCATAGATGCTTCTTATCAATTTAGCTGGTTTTCAGGTGTTAATCTATTAGTTTACCTGTGAACAAGAAGGTCAAAATATTCCCCTCAGCTTAACTTCAGACAGTTGGCTTCTTCACTCTGGGCCCCTGGCCTCTGTGACTAGCAAGTTGTATGGTATAAATGTACAGGCAGGAATCCAAACCAAGAGAGGATTGGTAAACTCAGATTAAAGAAAATTAAATGTTCTCTAGCTTAGACTATTTACCATTTTCACTTTGGAATTATTTTTGTTTAAAGAATTATAGCTTTGCTGGGGCACCTGGGTGGTTCAGTTGAGCATTTGACTCTGTTTTGGCTCAGGTCATGATCTCAGAGTCCTGTGATTGAGCCCTGCATGAGAATCTGTGCTCAGCTGGAATCTGCTTGAGGATTTTCTCTCTCTCTCCTTCTCCCTCTCTCCTTGCTCACATGCTCTCTCTCAAATGAATAGATAAATCTTAAAAAAAAAAAAGAGGCATAGCTATTGTCTAATGTTAGAAAATCCTTTCTATTAATTACTACTGGCTGAACATTAATTTTTGAAGAAGTCTTCTCATTCCAGTAGGCTTAGTTTCTTCTGCTGACAGTGTTGAACTTTAGCTGAGCCCTAGGCCCTTGGAAAACAGCAGTAGTCAGGAAATCCCCGCACCCTTTCGTGTTCTAGGAAACAACTTACTGCACAAGAACCACCCTTCTGACCTTAGATAAGACTCTCAGGTGAACCTCTTGTATGCTTATGACAAAGTCAGACACAGATCCTTGAAACTCCTATCCTTTCTCTCCGAAATTCCTTAGTGAATGGTTTGCCCCCACTGTCATCATAGACTGTGCAGATTGACATGCTGGAGACATACTTGTTTTCATATTCTTCAATGAAGTAATATAAGTTTGTAGAATTAATTGACTTTGACATAGATAAAAAAACTAAAATTAGTAAACATTTTCTAAGAAGCTGAGAATGATTTAAAATTTGCAATCTAAATTTTCTGAAGCAGTGATTTACTGACTGCAACTTTTTAAAATTGTGGCTGTATGTTTTTAGAGTGTCTGAAGCCAATCTAAAAATTCAGGTTGGCCTCTCTCTTCTGTCTCCTGTTGCATATGTGCAAAAGTAATCACAAAACTAGTGAAACAGCAATTACATTTGAAGAGGATTTGAAAGGTAAAGTGGTGCAAATAGAATCACACAATGCACAATAGACCAAATCTATTTAAGATCACTTGCTATTTTGATCAGCCATGCTTTCCTGCTACAATTAGTTACTGTCCTCACCAGCCCCATGGCAGCTGATGATGCATGTTTTCAGTTTTATGCCTCTACTACTAGCCTGAAAAACATCTACATGGAATTTGTGGTTATTTGATTTGAGGACTTAATAATCTAGAAGGAACAGTAGAAACTTCATGGTATCATGGGAATGACCCCAGAGTAGAAGTAAGAAGATGGGGGCTCTAATATTGGGTCTGTCATTTACTTATGGTGATCTTAAGATTGCTTAACCTCTTCTGAGTCTCCATGTCTGTAAGATAATTCCTGCCTCATCTGGTAATCTTAAGGGCAAAAAGACAATATAGTATAATAAGAGCTTTTAATATTTAAATATTATTACTTTCACATTTGTATTTTCCATCTTTAGTAGACTGTGAGCTCCCTAAAACAGAGGCCCTATATTCTTCTAACAAACAAGTAAATACATAATAGTCATTCAATAAACACTTTTGAATGTGTGACTTGCTATGAATGCATGACTGTAAGCAATACTAAAATAAATTCCACGAATAATTCAACAAATATTTATTGTGTGAACATTATTGTGCTAGGTCCTTTAAGAGATACAAAAATGGATCAGACATGAATCCTGCCCTCCAGGCACTCACAGTCCACCAGAGGATATCAGAAATGTGTATAAATAACAAGGTAGAAGTTTTTTTTTAAAGTCCTAGGAGAGGTACAGAAGCATTGCCATAGGAGTTCACAGGAGAAATTATTTCTAGCTTGGAAAATCATGAAAAACTTCATGAAGATGAAATATGAGGTGGACCTTGAAGCGTAGATAAAATTTAGATGTGGGGGGGGGAGGGGAAGGACGACCAGTCCAAGGGCACAAAGTTCTTGGCAGGTTGCGAGTGCAGTGGGCTCAGAGAGAGCTGTCCAGGGCTGGTAGAGGGGATGGCTGCAAGTCAGCTTTGGCAGAGTACGAGTATGTTCATGTGCAGAGGAAACTTGTTAAGAAGCGGACTAAAACGAGAGCTTCTTTGAAATTATGATTCCTTGGTACTTATTGACCTGCCTGCATTGTTTTCCTTATAGATTAAAAAACAAATGAAAAGCACCACTACAAATTGGCATCCCTCTTAGAGTAACAAAAATGTTACCCCCTAACATTTTCAAGTATGCAATTTCTGCTTAGCTTTCATATATTAATCTGATATTGAGTTACTAGAACTAGAGAAAAATAGAAGTGAAAAAATAGAGGGTTTTATTTTATGGCAGTGACTATTGTAGTTTTACAAGAAATATTAGTCTAATATATTGAATTTGGTTTTTAAACATAGAATTTGTTTTCAAATATATGCTTATTGAGGGTTTTTTCCCCCCAGTCAAGATTTTACAGTTTGAAATGGGAAACTGCCTACATGGTTTTCATTCACTCTATAGGTTACTGAGATGGAGCTAGGCATCTGTATATATATGTATATGTATATATATATACACACATATATATTCACGCATATACATACATATATGCATATGTATGTACTTATAGATACATGGATATTGAAAGAGAATGAGAGAGAAATTTACTAAATATTCCTATCACCAGAAAGTCATCTTATAAATTTAATAAACATTTAATATTACAATTACATTATAATTAGCATGAAGTTTATTCTATAGAAAAATCACTCCTTAGTTATGTTATAGTCTGATGTTGCTTTTATTTTTAAAATCTGGTTAAAAATATATTTTTAACATCTTTACATTGAGAACATTATAAGTATCTGACAGTTCAGCCTGAGCTGGGCGGTTTTTAAGGCTCTAGCTTCATGGTGCACTTGAGCGAGCGTTGAAGCACCTTTGTTTCTGCCTGGACTCATGGCCTGCAGGGCTGGGTCCCCCAGGTCATGGGTAGCCGGAGCCAGCTCACTTGAGTTTCTGACAGACCACACAAGACCATGCAGCTTAGGTTTAACAACAAACTAATTTAAATAAACATTCTAGGAGTTTTGAAGACCCTAATCTCCTTTCCACTCCCTGTACTTCCCTTAGATTGAAAGATGCAATCTTATCATCCATTAAAAGGATGACAAAATTGCTGAAGTCCTTTTTCTTCTAAAGCACCGTGTTTCCTTTAATGAGGCTTTGAGAAAGCAGGAGACATCACCGGTGTGGCTTTCCACTACAGAGGGCACTAGGGACCAGCTCACCTCAGACTTCCCACTTTTTCACACCAGAGAGAAAGCATCTAACCAAATACATCCACTCCCCTTTTCCTTCTGCTACAGAATATACAGAGAAGATTTTAAAAAAAAATCCTGAATAAAGTTCATTTTTTTATATGCTATGAAGAACTATAGTACAAGTAGTTTTGTGAAACATGCAATGGACTGCTTTACTTATAATAAACATTTTCCCTGTATTATTTTTTGTATGGCAACTTACTGTTTTCTACTAGTTGTCTTTTTGCCACAAGATAGAAAAAAAAACGTAATATTTATGTAAGAAAGACTATGATGGCAGATTTCTGACAAGCCCCATTTACACGTTACATTGTTCCAAAGGATGCTTGAGTAGAAAATACAGAAGCACTATACAAACCTACTATTACATTTGAGAAATCATTAGCCTCAAAGGAGTAATAACGGTATGCTATTAAAACTGTGAATACATTTTCAGTATCTGTATTGAAAAAAAACTTTATAAATATGTAAATTTCTGTTCAACAAATCCAAAATAAAATGCACTAAAAAACTGATATGTAGACAAAAGTTTATTTACACCATACAACATTTTAAATATTTTATACACAGTTGCAGCAGAGAAAGCTACTCAGAGCTTTCTAGAGAAAACTGCAATAATAAAGATGTGAAATATATTATTCATATAAAAGTGAGATTATTACTTTATTGCATTTAAAGCAATGAAGAATGTAGCTCAACAAACATTCATTTAATGACAAAAACTTTGCTTTTATATTATAAAGTAAAAAGTGTAGTAATGGCCAAACAGACTGTTATAAACTTTAAAAACTGCATAAATATATACATTGTGCTTCATGGTGAAGTTTTTTGAAAACTAAACCATATGAAGCGGTTACAACATGAATCGTTGCTTGAGGTTTATCTATAAAGATTACCTTACAAATCCATTCCACGGGTACTTACAACACAGGATGGTCAGAACTGTACACCTGGTCCTCTCTCCACTAGCCTGACTAGTGAGAAGTTACCATATGCAAACACCACTGACATTTGGCACATGAAGTTCCTGACATAGGATAGTCACACGGTCCAGATAGAAATGTCAGGCTTCCCAAGTCTTAAGTGTCAGTGCAATAAATTGTTTTATATCCACCTCAGTCCATTTTGATTTTGCTAAACTTCTGTTTGAAAGTCACCCTCTTGCACATCCAGAGGCAAATTCAGACACTTCTCCCACTCTGCTGGCCTCAGTTCCAAAGCGTCCTTTGCCTCTGTATCTAAGACATTGATTGTGGTGTAATGTTGGTATTCACTGGGGTTTTTGAAAGTGTCCCATGGATTCTTGTTTGGTGCTGGGTTTTCCTGTTGAGAAGAGAGGGGAAGAGAGTCATTATTTGATGACGAGGATTACTGCTTGTTGAAGTTCCCAGGAAGACAGCATGTTTGTGACCTTAATCGAGTTTATATGATTCAGAGATGATTTGAAATTGTGGCCAGCTGCAGGAAGTGGTTTTGATTTTAGTTTTCCTTCATTGAACAAACTGATGAACACCTTCTTTATGTTATCCTAAAGTTTTCCAGAAATCAAAGGAATTGAATAATTTATGGAAGGCAAAGTAGATGATGTTTTGTTTTGGGTATCTTGTGAAATGTCAGTACAGCTATCTCAGGTAGAAAGGAGTTTTCCCGCTAAGACTAAATGTAGAAAATTGAAGTATTTTGGCAGAATCTTTGGTGAGATAAAATTTGAAGATATGTAATGGAGCATGTTATGTAATAATAAAAACAGTCCCCAAACGGGCCATATTTCATAAAACTGAATTTCATTAATTTTGCTTAGTTTTTAAGAAATTATCCTTTTTAGAACATTAAAATGCTACTATGTCCCTTGTGTAATCTATTTTTTTCCCTGCTGTATATTCCCAATTTTCTACGTATTTGGGCAGCACATTAATTTAGCAAAAATCATTCTTCCCTTCAAAGAGCACAGCTTTTTGGAAAATATAATCTAGCAATATAAGGGGTTTTAAAGTATGTCTATTGGCCAGCATTCCTTATATTCCATAGTATATACCCTCTTACTACTTGAGATTTAAGATCTGCCTAATTATTATTCCACCCAGACCTTCCATGTTGTAGGGGCTCAGTAAATATGAATAGACATTCTTCAAAGTTTCTATAGCCTGATATTTTGCTAAGATTTAGCAGTGAACTTAAATTTATTTTTAAAAGTGTTTAAAGATTTCTGTAAAATGAGGGAATCTGAATGTAATAGACTATGCTGAGTAACATCAAAGAACAAGAAGGAAATCATGACTGAATTCTCTTTAGAACAAATTAGAACACTTAAACAACTATAATTGCTGAATGTGTCCTTTATCTCTTCCCCTTCACCCTAAATTCCAGGCTTCAACTGCTTATAATTAATTAGTGGGGGAAATGTAAAACAGGTACTGCAATTATTATCTGGGTTTCATTGAAAATAATAAAAATCACTCTCAAGTACAGATAAAAAGAGACAACCTATAGAAATACATACCATAACTAGAAAGTAAACTGTTAAAATCCTCAATACGTTAGATGTTTTTAACACTTATTAGCCTTAATCATGAGGACATACAAGAAAACAATAGCTAATAGTTAATACGTGATAAAATTTTTAACCTTTAGGATATGAACAGGGGATTAATTCTGATTTAGTCTAATATCCTAAAGTCTTATGAACTATATAGTCTTGTAACTCTTCCCCGCCTTCCTTGCTCCCTTCACCTAATATTTATCAGCTGCTCTGTGTTGGCCATATTAGGCACTAGGGAGGATAAAGTGATGAATCAAAGATGAAAAGCCAACATGGTTCACTAGGAAGCATAAGATTTAAAGCCTGATATATACAGGTCCAAATTCCAGTTGCTCCATTTTATATGAATGTAACTCTGAGCAATTTACTTGATTTCTATGAACCTCAACTTTAATATTTGCAAAACAGAGAACTATGCTTTGTATTGTGGGCCAAAGGAACTGACAAAATATGCAGATTACCTATGTTATGGGGTTGCAAAAATAAAGTTACGGGGCCTAGTATAACACCTAGTATTTAATAAATGGTCACTATGTAGTAATCACACTTATTATGAAGGTGTTTATAGTTAAATGAAGGTTTATATATATAGTTAGATCTGTGTCTAAAATCTAGGACAAGTGCTGACAGGGGTACAGACAAGGGTGGAGATAAGGCTTCCTTTTATGGAAAGCATATAAACCTTTCTGAGGAAAGTGATATTAGAACTGTCATAGAAGAATGAGCTTGGTCATAAAGACATGTGTGATTGGAGGCTGGGTGGCTGAACAGGCAGTCATACTGAGAAGTAAAAATCCAGACAGCATGCAGATGGGACAAGTCTGAGAAAAGTAACCAGTTTATTTTAGTTGGAGTGAAAAAGAATAGAATAAATAGGCAGAATTGAAAGCCAGATCATAAGGGACATTGTATGCCAGGCCACTCAGTTTGGAATTTATTTTGTAGGCAATGGGAATGGTTGAAGATTTCAGGGCACTACAGTGACCTGAATCATTAATCACTGATTCAAAGGTTCACTGGTGTGAATTCTGCTGCATCAAGCTATGGAGAGGATTTATCCATCTTAGACAAAGGCTGTGTCTTAAAGGAGCTTTCTGGGAATCCTTAGTCTGAAAAAAGATGAATTAGTTCAGTCCTAAAAGGATTCAGGATATGTAAATTATTTCATTTGCTTTGAAAATAGGGGTTTCATTATGTTTGGAACAGATGTGATTTTCCATTTATATTTTGAAGATCAAGCATCATGGATCCATGAACTAAAATGGCCAATTTTAAACTTCCTCAGAATGTCTAGATCCTAATTTCACAGTATTGCTGCCAGTATACAACTGACTGAATTTCTGAGAGGTTATATAATTAATAAGGTTGGCTTTCTTGGTCATCTTCTCTGGCCTCCCATGGTATTCCCAGTAGTACTGTGATTCTTGCCCTTGTTCATAAATGTCTGGACACCTGTTAGGTCTGAGGCCCATGCTTCTTTAGTGATAAAGAACTACTGCACCCAGCAGTAGGACTCAGCCAAACAGAGTACCACATACACAAAAAAAACCCAAAAAGTGAAAATTTAAGGGACCCATAGGACAGCATTGAGTAAAACAATATTTAGGGGTCCCAGAAGAAGAGAGAGAGAAAGGGACTGAAAACTTACTTGAAAAAACAATGGCTGAAAATTCCCGGACCTGAAGAAGGAAACAGACCTATGGGTCGAGGGAGCCTAGAGCTTTCTAAATAAGATAAACCCAGAGAGATCCACACCAAGACACATTATAATTAAAATGTCAAACGTTAAAGAGAAAATCTTAAAAGCAGCAGGAAAAAAAAAAACAACAACAAAAAAACAAAGCTTGTTATGTATAAGGGAACCTCCATAAGTATATCAGATTTTTCAGCAGAAACTGCAGGTTAGAAGGGAGTGGCATGATGTATTCAAAGCGCTAAAAGCAAAAATCCCAACGAAGAATATAAAAGTAGTAAAAATAATGACTACAACAAATAGTAATGGGATACACAAATTGAAAGATGTGAAATGTGACATCAAAAACATCAAACGTGGCGGGGGGATTAAAATGTAGAGTTTTAGAATGTGTGCAAACTTAACTTGCTATCAACTTAATATAGACTGGCATATATGTAGGCTGAGATATATAAGCTTCATGATCACAACAATGTTAAGACCTAAAGTAAATACATAAAAGTAAAGCAAAGCATCAAACCACATGGGAAGAGAGCAGGAGAAGATACAGAGTGGCTGAATGGTTTAAAAAAAAAAAAAAAGACACATATATATGCTGCCTATAAGAGACTCACCTCAGTTGTAAAGACACACACAGACTAAAAGTGAAGGGATGATAACAGATGTTTCATACAAATGGAAACCAAGAGAAGGCTGGGGAAGCTATACTTCAGTCAGACACAATAGACTTTAAAACAAAGACTAATAAAAGACAATGAGCATTACATAATGATAAAGGGATCAACCCAGCAAGAGGATATAAATTTGTACTTATGCACCCAATCTAGAAGCATATAAATGAATAAAGCATATATTAGCTGATGTAAAGGGAGAAATCGATAATGATACAATTACACTAGGGGGCTGTAATACCTCACTTACATCAAAGATAGATCATGCAGACAGAAAGTCGAACATTAGCCTTAAATGATACATTAAACCAGATGGATTTAATAGATATATATGTCAAGACCACAGCTAACATTATACTCAAAAGCTGAAAGCTTTTCACCTAAGATCAAGAACAAGACAAAGATGCCCACTCTTGCCACTTATATTCAACAGTATTGGAAGTCCCAGCTGAAGCAATTAGGCAAGAAAAGAAATAAATGAAAAAAAAATAGTAAAACTGTCCTATTTGTAAATGACATAATTTTATGGGTACAAAACCCTAAACGCTCCTCCAAAAAATTGTTACAACCAATACATTCAGTTAAGTTGCAGGATACAAAATCAATACACAAAAATCTTTTGTGTGTATCTAACAACAAACTATCAGAGAAATCAAGAAAACAATTCCATTTCCAATTATACCAAAAGGAATTTAGTATCTAGGAGTAAACTGAACCAACAAGGTAAAAGACTTACACATTAAAAACTACAAGAAATTGGTGAGAAATAATGAAGAAGACACAAATAAATGGAAAGATATACCACATTCATGGGCTGGAAGAATTCATATTGTTCAAATGTCATATTACCCAAAGCAATCTATAAATTTGATACAATCCCTATCAAAATAGCAATGGCAATTTTCACAGAAATAGAACAATTCTAAAATTTACATGGAACCAAGAAAGATCCCAAATAGCCAAAGCAATCTGGAGTAAGAAGAACAAAGCTGAAGATATCATGCTCCCTGATTTCAAACTATATCACAAAGCTATAGTAATCAAAACAGTATAGTATTGGCATAAAAACAGACTAATGGAACAGAATAAAGAGCCCATCACCCAGTTACCCCATCCCCCCACCCACCTCCCTTTCCAAGGGCACATGATGTGATGAGCACTGGGTATTATACTGAACTGATGAATCACTGAACTTTATATCAAAAACCAATGATGTACTATACCTAAGCTAATTGAATTTAAAAAAAAAAAAACAGAAATAAACCCATGCATATATGGTCAATCAATTTAAAACCAAGGAGGCAAATCAAAACCACAATGAAATATCTCACACCTGTGAAAATGGCTATTATCAAAAAGACAAGAAATAAAAAGTGTTGGCAAGGATGTGGAGGAAGAGGAACCCTTGTGCACTGTTGGTGGCAATGTAAACTGGTGCAGCCACTGTGGAAAATAGTATAGTTTCTAAACTAAAAATAGAACTATCATATGATCCAGCAATTCCACTTCTGGGTATTTATCTGAAGAAAATTAAAATACTGATTTGGAAAGACATTTGCACCCCTATGTTCACAGCAGCATTATTTACATGGCCAAGATATGGAAACAACCAAAGTGTATGATTGATGGACAGATGAAGAAGATGTGGTATACAGATATACAATGGAATACTACTCAGTCATAAAAAAGAATGAAATTTTGCCTTTCTTGTGACAACATGTAGAGAGGCTACAGGTTATTAGCTTATTACAAAATAAGTCAGACAAACACCATGTGATTTCACTTATATGTAGAATCTAAAAACAAAACAAATGAAACAAAACTCAGAAGTGAAAAGAATAGATTAGTGGTTGCCAGCAGGGAGGGGGTTGGGGGGGAGAAGATGAAATGGGAGAAGGAGGTTGAAAGATATACACTTCTAAGACAAATAAGTCATGCGGATGTAATATACAGAATGGTGACTATAGTCAACAATATTGTATATTATATAACTTTAGATACTGACAGGAGGAAACTAGATTAATTGGGTGATCATTTTGCAGTATATACAAATATCAAACCATAATTAATAGTTATGTTAATTGTACCACAATAAAAAAATTATAAACTCATTATAAGCCAACATGCATGAAATTTCCAAAGATGCTAATGTGGTCTTAGGCTGTATATATAGAAATGGAATATTAGCTGAATATTAGAATTCATCTCCCATAATTCATGGGTCTAGGAGCAGGCTAGCTGTTAATTCCGGACAAGTCCCTCTCTCCCTCTGTCTTCTCTTTTCCTCCTTCCCTCTATTTTCTCTTTCCTTCCTTCCTCCAACCTAGCAATACTGGGGACAAGGGAATGAGAATTTGTTTATTCTATATTCTAAAAGAGCAAGAATTTGGAGAAGCTCCTTGGGGGAAAGGGATCTTGATGGAGAAGAGTTTGCGAGACACACTCGGAATAAGAGAATTCTTTCAAAACTGCCTTTTCTTTGTAGTGTGATTTAGATGTTGTCCTGCCTGGAAGCAGGGAAATGGACTAAATGGTCTTTTGGGTTCCCTTTGATTCCCCAAATTCTACATAATTACCATCCTTTGCAGTGCTAGGCAGGTGTTGTGAGTTAGTAGCCAGAAAAAAAAGGAAAAGACTTTGAGATTTTTGTTTTGAAAATGTCTTTATCCAATCATGCGATATTTCATTAGCAATGTGGCGCACGAATTATGACTGAATTAAGGATAATGAACTCACTCACATGTTCATTATTAATCAAAACTGAATAAGGAACTCTCTTCTGTTCTCAGATATTTAGGACAATAGTCAAGCAGCAATGACAACTCTATCCTTCCCACTCCTAACCTCCCAAATGATAAATATTTATAAATCTTTTCTAGAAAAGGCGTGCTGCTGCAGAGATGTGGTGTAATTAGTAGGCTATTTTGGTTGTCAGGAAATGGAGATATAGATATCTGTGCCATTAATGATTTAATATCCAGACCATACAAGGGGAAATTACAATCATATTATAGCAGTCAGCCAGCTGTATCTGTCGCATAAGACTTTCAGATTTGTAAATATAACTCTATTCTTTTTTTTTTTTTTAAACAAATGAAGTTTCTTCAGTTTTTTCAATGTTAGCTTTCAGTATTCCAAAATGAGTAGCTAATGTGTTTAGGTCTAACCTCAATGGTGCAGTTCTCATTTGCCTGGTGAACTAAAAATTGACGGGCCAGTATTAGGAGGAGTAGCTAAGAAAGAACCACTCACTACATATAAGTGTCTTCTATTTGCCCAGCATTGTATTAATGACAACAAATAATGCATGATTCTTGCTGTAAGGAGGAAAATAGGTTGACATACACATGAATTATTTACAGACCAATTAAGAGTTAAGGTATATTGTGTTTCTTATAATCTTCATTTAACAAACACAGACTGAACTACCAGAAATATTCTATAAATCAAGAGCAGCTACATACTGATAAATTACCATGACCAGCACTGTACTGGTACTGAGAGGAGTACAGGGAAAAACAAAGGTACATAAAATCTTGGTCTTGATAAACTGATGTTAACTAATCAGGAAGCTAGGACTTAGACTCACAACACACATATCCAAGGCTCATGAGAGTTAGAAGGTGATCAAACACCATGTCTCTTAGAGTGATATATGTATATACACACACCAGAACCCCAGACGCTGGGAGGAGGGGGAGGGCTGCAAAGGTGTAAGGCAAAACAAGGGGACCGTATTTGGAGTGAGGAACAGTTGAGTCAGATGGCAGTCCCAGCTCTATCTCTCATAGCTGAGTCTCAGCTTCTTAACCTCTCATGTGCCCTACCTGCTTTAGAAAGTGTTTTGAGAACCAAAGGAAGCATTTATTAATTACTGTTTTCTTTGTTCAAATTAGGAAAAATTGAGGTTTAGAAACCCAAGCTAGGTAACTTGCTGAAGATCAGATAGATCCTGGTTGAGTTTTGTATTCCTGATCCAGGGCCCTCACAAATAATTATGTAGCCTTTTCTGGAGCCATGCCTGCGTCATGTACATGGTAACTGCAAACTATCATTTGATGAATTCCTATGCTAGGACTGTAGTAGTGTGAATGAATGAGAAGCAAATGGTCCAATGAATAATCAAAGCCTCCAATGTTGAGGTTTCCCAAACTCTTGGGAAAAGAGTATTTCCTAAAACTCCTCTCATAAAATAAATGAGTCTCCTAGAGACAAAAACCTAACACTTCAGTTTCAGGTAATAGAGTATACATTCAAATGTATATGAGTATGTATATATATGTTTATAAGTACACATACTGTAAAGAAATATATATTTTATGACCTTAAAATGTCAGACATTCAAATGAAAATGGAAAAATTTAGTCATCTATTTAGGTATTTGAATTAATTGACTTTTAACGATGATGAAGGGGCCAGGTGAACCTAATACATTTTTGATATATAACTAATTCCAATTAAAGCTTATAACTGAGAACATTTAAAACATGAATAAAAATGCTTAAGGAGTCTATCATTCCTAATTTGTCTCTTAGCGTATTCCAAATACACTGCGGAGCATTATTTGTTTTTTTCTATGTACGCCACTTCTGTGTTCACAAGACAATTGAAAGCTCCTGGAGGGTAAGGATAATGGCTGACAGCACACATCATTAGTGTGGTGCCAGGCACTGATGAAGCAACGCATACTTACCATACTGCTTGTATTTGGTATATCCCGAAATCTGTCCAAAGTTTGAAATTTCTGATTCAGCTCCTGAAACAGTTCCATATGCCTCTTCCTTGTATGCATGACCTTCTGCAAAAGAGAATAGAACGGAACTCATTTCTAATTTGATTTATGCATTTTACAAAAAGGTTTAATATTTTCACTTTAATAAGGAAAATCAAGTTTGGCAGGAACCAGGAAGTCCCAAAAGACACCAAAAATGCAAATAAGCTGCATCTAATCCTTGTTTCATAGTCAGCACTTCTTGAACATGAAGAATTGGCTTTATTTCCATTTACGAGATTACCAAAAAAATAGTTCTCTCTTGTGGGTGCATTAAAAATGTAGCAGTCATTCCTGGATAAGATTTTCATCATTCAAAGTTAAACCTGTTTTACAAAAATTGTTATAAAAAATGTTTAAAAACTTGGACTTGTAAAGCACCCAAGTCTCTCAATGTTTGTCATGGGAAATATTACTTTTTTTATGTTTTATTTCCATAACACTAAAATCCTAGTGGGCTGTACTAAAGGGGGAGCAAACTCTCAAGCACTACCATCTAAGGCTGACTCAAAGCACTAAAGTGTCTGAAATATATGGGAGATCTAGAATCTTACCCTTTCCATGAATAATGATTGAGTTTTGCAGAAGGAAAATCTGACCCATAGGTTTCATATATTTATTTACAAGATGGTACAGAATCTTAACAATTAGGGCTCAGAGCATAAATGTGTGTAGTTGAAGAGCTTCTCAAATCACTGATACAAATATATTAATCCTCTTTTTTTAAAATATATTAATACTCTTCATCCTTGGTTACATCCTTTTCTCCCAACTTGATCATAACTCAACAAATAGAGTCCTAAACAAAAATGACCTCAGGGTAAGTATCATGGACTGAATCTTTTTCTATTACAGAACGTGTAACAGAGAAGATAATAAATCCCCTGTATTTACAAGTGTTATTTTAAAGGAGAAAATGCCTTCCTCAATTTTGATTTTTTAATTGTCAAAAATCAATATTTCAGTGATTTTCCAAGATTGTGCCTCCATGTTTGTGCAAGATTTTATAGTATTTTAAAGCATGTGCTTCATAACTGACTCTTTGCTCATGTGGGCTTCATAGGTGTATTATATTCATGCCTAAGCTATGACTTGAACATTTGGCCCACTGTTTTAATTATCAAATATTTTCAAAAGTAAGAATTTGTTTTGGAAAAGAAATACATCTTTGGGGAAAGATCTATAATGCCTAATTTTCTTCTAAAAAGACACGTGAAGAGAACACGATCTCCTTGAGGAAAAAAAAGCAAAAGAGAAATGCAAATTAAATCTTTAACATATTTTAAAAAGCCTTATTCTCTGTTATGCCAAATTTAATGAATCTGTGTTTAGGCAATACTTTGTTTAGCTTGTTTCTTCTATTTTCATTAGCCTACTTTTATGAGAGAATTCTGACATTTTAAATCTTGCTCTAACCAAATTATTTTCATCTTTGCTCCTCTTGGTTCTAGGAGTTGGCTGTTAACGAATCAGGTGGTTGAGGATGAGAACATGGCAACATTACTCATGATGAGGCCATGAAACATAGCAAGCAATTACAGAGCGATTAACTTCCCATCAGTTTTGGGGAGAGTACAGGAAACAGATTTGCAGGATTTACAGAGAAACACCAGGCAAACATAATTTGACTAGCAATGGCTGATGGAGATTTATGAGAGGCAGGATTTGCATAAGCAACTCAGTGGAGGGATTTTGAGGACCACATAGCTGGCAAACATAACGAAATGCATTCTGTCTCTGGGGACTCAAATATTCCCATGCAGTACCAGAGCCTAAGACACTGATGAAAATACTGATTTGTGTTATAAGAAAAACCTTTCAAAAAACAAAACTATAGTCATCACAATATGAACTCTGCCTCTAACTTTCAAATAGTGTTTTTCATAATAATGAATCTTACCATGTAGTTATTTTTTGCTAGGGTGCAGGACTAAAGTCACGCTACTGACATTTCTCTAAAGATACTTCTTTCTGTCAGCTAATACATATTCATGAGCACCACATATTGTGCTAGATGCTGAAGTAACAGTGGTGTGCAAAAATCACGTAGAGCTTCTCCTCTCTTATAGCTCAAGGCAGAATGGAGGACATAGGCATTAATCACATAAGAACTCAAATATACATTATTTTAGAACTGAGATTAAGTGAAACAAATGGTGTGTCTATGTAAGTAAGTGATAGGGGAATTCACTAAGATAAATGCAAGTGAGGCAGATTTCCAAATTTTCACATACTTATTTTGAAGTTGAAAATTCTCAGATAAGTTATTCCTCATCTCATTTGTTCTTTCTCTTCCATTTTCTAAAATTCAGAGAATTTCTGGTATAATTTTTAATCTTGTGCCCTTTCCTCAATGAGATCATTCCTTTCCAAAGACAAGGAGCACGTTCTCTTGTAAGATAGTTGATATTATTGGCATAGCTTCCTCATTTTAAGGTGGGCATGTGATGATTTTGTCTCTGCAGTCTCCATTTATCTTTTATCTTATGACAGGGTCCTGACTTTGCCTTGGGAACTTATGCCTGTCAATGGCGGTGGTAATGTCAATGGAAGTCGTTATTGTCTACTGGCCAAAAGGTCAGTTTTTCCATATCCTTCCAACAAAGTTCTCTTTTGTTGGTAGTCAAAGTCACTCTTTGTCTTGTGCAACCAAATATTTCTATTGGATAAATCATGTTTAATGAAGCAAAGTATTAAATGTATCCCATGGCAATGAGGGTATGTTAATTGGAGTTTTTATAATCATATTCTGACTGACTACGTAGCAGCTGATTCTGAACTGAGTGTATTTTATTTTGAGGAGCTACATTGTTAGAACATACTCAGAAATACATATGATGAATGCAAATGTTATATAACCAAAAAACATCTTGCAATATTCTACACAGGTTCATGAAAGCTACTCTGAGTACTAAAGCTCACGGACGCCACAAAGAAGATGGAAAGAAATTAAAAATTTAGGTGCTGAAATCTGGGGCTCTTCCTGCCTAGAAACATTACTTGCAAATCCATCTGCATCCAGATAGTCATTCTAATTTGAAATTGTCACCTAGGCACAGCCAGAAATCACCACAGCAATGATGGTCTGGTGGTTCCGAGAGAAGTACCACATTAGAGCTGCCAATCAAGAGCTCACCTATCTCTCAGGGCTCAGTTTGATTTTCCATGCGTGATTCCTTCTTGTTCACAGACTTAAGTATACCTTTCAGCTTTTTCAGTCGGGGAAGCTTCCATTGACCTGGAAGCCAGCGTCACAGTAAATACTGGAGAGTTTCCAATCTGGCAATGTTTTGGGATAAAAACGTAGCTGTGGTTTTAGTTTTCACAAATAATAAAGGTTTCCCTTTATCTACTTACTTGTCTGAAGAATTATTTATTTGTAGCACTCATGCCTTTGATGGTCTTAACCACCTAATGAGAAGTTTTTGTGCTTAAAAATCTGGCCCATTTTGACGGCTCTTTTTGGATTTTACTCACCTTAGGGTTTTATCTGTTTACCTTTTTCTTTCTTTTGTGACTGAAACATCCTGTGTCCCAAAGAAATCGAGTTCTGTGAAAAACTCAATTTTCTAAAGCCTTTGAAGATGATAAAACTATAACTCACGTAGATTTTCTTTTTAAATAAACAAAGGTATTCTAATTGACACTATATATAAAATTCAGGTTGCTTGAGTTTTAACTCCTGTCAAATAACATACGCATCTTTTGCAATAAAGAGAAATGCTTGGTAATGTTCCCTTCCACTCAGGTTATTATGACATCACTGTTTGAAGCTGTGTATGAACCCCCAGCCTGAGAGGACCAGCAACTTAACTGCACAGAAATATCTCCCGAAATAGCTTATTTCATACCCTTATCTGTCATTTTCTATATTTATAACTTCCGGGAGGCTCTCTTTGCATTCTTTTAATTGTTGATATGAGAGAAAAAGTGATAGGTTGTATAGTACTTTCATGAAATTTCAGCTCTTTGAGAAAAAATCAGGATGTGAACCACCTGTATGTTTTGAGCACCTACTCTCTCTCAGGCACTCTTCTAGATTAAATACTTGGGACATGTCAAATCTAACAGCTCTGGGTCTGGACAAACTGGGATTAAGATCTCAGTTCCACCACTTTCAAATTGTGTGGTCAGAGGCACACAATGTAATCCCCCTGTAGTTCCAGTTTTAGCCGTCAGAGTAACCTTACAGGGTTGTTCTGAAGATTTAAAAAGGGATACCCATCACTTATCACCGGAGGACACAGGTAAGAGCCACTTAAGAAATGGTAGGCATTATTATCTTTCTCAATCCTCACAATAACCCAGGGAGGTAGGAGTCATTATCTCACTTTGCTGATTAGAAGACAGAAGCTCAGGAGGCTAAAGTAAAGCTCCCAAGCTCCCATCAGGGGTGAGACAGTTGGGATTAGGCATTCTGAATCCAAAGTCCATTCTCTTTGCATGCTGCTCTCTTAGATACATCCCATATTCAGGGAGCACCCTCCTTTAGATTATTCAAGCTTGTGATTATGCCCTCTTCAGATGGAAAAGCAGGTGAAAGAAACGGGTGCATTAAATGCCTTCCCTAGCAAGCCCATAAACTGGATATCAATCACCCTGCAACTATCTCATAGTACTGCAATTATCTTTTGAAGGGCCGGTCTCCATATCTTGTCTCTGAACACCTTGTGGACGGTGACTTTGTATCCCTGACACCTAACACAGTGTTTGATATTTGGCAGGTGCTCAATAAATGTGCACGGGATAAATGAAACCAATGAGATGGCATATGTATATAGGCCAGGGAAGGTGCCTACAACATGGAAGGCTATCATAAACCTTGTCTTCTCTCCTTCTATTTAAGGGGTCTCCCAGCTGACAAGGAGACTTCTTTTATTGTCCCCAGACAGGATCCCTGCCTCCTATTCAGATCCTATTGTGCTCTCTTATTTTCCATATAAGTTGCCTATAAAGGGCCTGCAGGTGGGTTTGAAACAAACTGCTTGGAAGTTTTCTTATCTAAATTCAGAAGTGTGAATCACAGA